GAGAGGGTAATAGGCATCATCATGTTTATCAAAAATTTGATAGAAGCCCAATTTGTGCTAATCGAAAAAGTCCTAAGAAATTCTCTGCAAACTCATTAGCATTACAAACATATGCTTAAATTTATGTATTGCAAAACTAGCTATATTTTAGCCATCTCTTTAGAGTCTTTTATCATAACCCTTTTTACACACTTATCATTACCACATTTTTATTGATGTCACCATTCCTACATCATAACTTAATTTTTGCAGTAGCCTTATTATTCAAAACTCGTGTCGTAACTTTGTTTGTGTTGTAGTCCATTCATTCAAGACAATTGATATAATCTCATTTGTATCACAATCACTTCATTTAATAACAATTACAATCCTTCATATATCACAGTGATTGTTGCATCTAAACGTCCATCATAAACTATCTCCTTCAAAACTTATCTCAAATCTTAATTTGTACTATATTTATTAAAGCCTTCATTTTTTCATCATAATTGCACTTGCACCAAAATCATCTTTTTTCGATCATAAAATGTAATCATGGTGATGTTGTATATCATTTGCATCACAACTATCTCTTTACAAACCTTTGGCATAACTCACTTGCATTATAGCTATCTTCATCAAAACTTATACTTCAACCTCAATTTCATTATATGTATTTTCTTTAAGAAATGTCATTAATCCATTTAAATTGTAATCTTGTTTCATGTCAACTACACCATAATCTCATTTATTTCGCATCCATCAACACATCAAAACCTACATCATAATCTCAATTGGGTCATATCCATCCACTTCAAGAAACTCATATCAGCCAACTCAATGGAATGTTCACGTAACAAACGTCTCTTGAAAGACATAGGCCTTAGTATTTTTTGATAAAATTGGAAAAAAACGATTATCTTGAATCATGATTGCGCTACAATTAGCTGGAAGAAGCAGACGATGACTTTTGTGTGTGTTTATAACATTCATGATCAATACTATTTTACCTTTTGACTTTGCCTTTTATAGTCATCCTAATAGATTCTCTTTTATTGAAGTTTCCAAAATTTTATTATGGATCGCTGTTGCATGGATTTCTTAAAAATGATAAATTTTAGTTACATAAACCAAAGCAGTTAATTTTACTTTACATAGCATGTCTCAATCTTAATCCTTATTTATAGATTTGAGGTGGTGCTATTTATGCGACATAATTGGTTATGAAAAAAAAAAGAAAAAGAAAACAAAAATGATGTCGCTCCTCTTATAGCTTGAGAGGGCACCGAACTAGAATTTGCATTCAAATTACTTTAATCTTGGTCGGTTCATTATCAATTGATAACTGTCCATGGTTGAGCTATTCATCTGACTAAATTTTATAGGGTTGAGCTCATAAGTAGATGAGCAACCAACTTGATAAGCAAATGAGCCAAGGCCAAGTGACAAATTGTCGAATACGGGTAATCAAACTGATGAGTTGGTAAGATCAAGTTATAGGCTGATCAACCAATTTGCTCAATTCATCGTATCATTCTTGGTATAGACCTAGCTTAGACCCGTAAAGTTAACTTGAATACTCGAATACATCAATTTGTTTACAATTATGATTTTTAAATCATCATGATAGTTCAAACATCTTAAATAACTGAGTATCACACATTACCCAACATTCCTAAACTTTTATGATATAATTAAAAACAATTCATTATACTTAACAAAAAAAAGTAAATAAATAACAATTAATTAATGATAAATTGCCTTTATTTTGAAACTATGAGACTTACAAAACTTATATTTTATTTATTTTTTTTTTTTTTGAATTCTTATGTAAATATTGAAATTTACAATGAAACCCTAACTTCTATTTTTATCTTTGCTTTTGCCTGCATGAATGAGTTAAATAATTAAAAAATATATATATGGATAATAGTTTTGTAAATATGCAAGTTTTGAATGTTATATATGTAATTCCCCTAAATAAATCCCGATTTTGCCCGATAGCACCCTAGGGTTCGCTACCTCTCGACTCGTCTTCCCCGCTTCTTTAGTTGCGAGGCTGCGTAGCTGTGCATTGAAGCGAGATCTGAATCCGTTTCAACCTTTATCTGACATTCCCACTCAGAGTTCTTTCAGGTGCTATTCGTTTCTATGCTTCGGGGATGAGTAATCGCTTTCGACTTTCTTCCTCCAAACAAAGTTTTCAATTCTGAGAAATTTTTTTTCTTAAATGCTTGATCTCTGTTTCACACACCATCCTGCGGCATTCTTTCGATTTATTAATGGCCGATAATGTTTTCTGGTGAATTCGATTTTCTCGATCCGTGCGCTGAGTTAACTTGACTGCAAGTAGGATTTAGAAAATCGCGTGGATGCAGAATTCCAGACTGATTTTACTTGAGAGGGTTAACTCTGAGAACTATTTCGCATGATAAACTCTTAAATCATGCTTCTTCTTGATAAACTGTTTAGGATGCCTGAGAAGAAGAAATCCTTGAGTTAAAAGGTGTTTTGTAACAAATCTTGGATTCAACCGATAACAAGGCTGAAATGAGATTGATTCAAAATAGTAGAATTTAAAGTTAAAAATCTCTGTTCGGCATAATTTAAGCTAAATCTTGCTTCAATTCTGCCTAAAATCGCAATCAATGGTGGATGAAAGTTTACCCAACCTTGCTTCAAACTCACCCACCTCCTGGAATTGCATCCACTTGCTTAAATTCACACTTATTTTGTTCATGGAAGATTTGCATGCATGCCACGCAATTCTTATGTATTTACATGTCTACATCCTAAAACTTAAATCTTGCACATATATATGCTACCTTACTTATACACGATAAGATGTATTTTACTTCTTAAATAATAAAAAAGGTGGTATTTTTTATGTGATATGAAAGATTTGGGTGGTATATATATATGTAAAAAATTAAACTTTAGATGTTTTGGTTGGTATGTATGTAAATGCTCTTAATTTAATACTGATTATTGGAATTGATGGATTAAAATTGACCTTGAATTCAGGCTTGTATTTGTAGTTTTGTTGAACAATGTATTTCACACTGCACAAGGCACATGCATTGCTTGAATATGACAAGTTACTCATTTTTCTTTTTGTATCTTTTGTACTTATTTAATATTTTCTCAATGAGAATGGAAAAACATGATTGATAAATTATAATGTCTTATGAACGAGCAAATGATTAGCTATATAACTCCGGCTAAACTTCATCTAAAAACTCTTTTGTTGTAACTACATACATAGCGTTCCAAACATTGCCATTCACAAATATAGAAGTCTCTTTCATCCATTTTTCAAACTCTCGTTCAAATATCAAAGTTCACAACAAAATCCTAACCTATGTTTTTCATTTTTATCAAGTTCTCGTTGGTTTGACCGTCACACGTGCAAGTAAATACATCAATTTGTGTTATTAAAAAAAATCACATGAGTGATATTTCTTTAAATAGCGATGTTTTAAGTGTTATCTATTTAATTATCCTGAATATTTCTACTCCACTCAATTTTCTTTACCTTAAGAATAGAAACCAAACCAATCATCCTTTTATCTTCATTCATTCACATCAAGTATTACCTGAGGTGTTAAATGTATTCTCTATAAATCATAATGAACAACTTCTATTCAAACTCTACAACTCCTTTAATCCTCGAACATTAATTTTATCTACTTCTCTATACATGCTGCCAACCAAATCTCTAAACTTATTTGGCGGATAAAGATCGAAGTACATAATGGCTTCGCGGAGCACCAACATATTATCGAGGGCGAGCAGAATGAGGCAAAAGCTACAATCCACTTTGGAAGCGAGTTCTTTGGAGATTGAAGATGTATCGTATCAGCATGCCGGTCATGCAGCTGTGCGGGGAGATGCTAATGAGACTCATTTCAATATTAAGTTGGTTTCTCCAAAATTTGTCGGGCTGAGTCTGGTGAACCGCCATCGCATGGTCTATGAGGTTTTAGATGATGAGCTCAAAACTGGCCTCCATGCCATTTCTATCGTTGCTAGAACTCCACAAGAATCTGGTTTGTCTAAATCTTGAACATTTTGTTTTAGCGGTTTTGGTCAAATTGTGTGCTCTATGTATGTTATGGAACACATTTGTTGTGGAACTGCCTTATAATTATGTGGATATTATGAAGTTAGGAAATTTACATATATTTCACATCTATTTGCATGTCTAACTCATAAAGGTTGAGATTTACATTTGTACACTTTGGTGTTACAGACTTAGGGTCTATTTGGGGTGACTACAGATTGTATTACAATGTGGTTGTAAAACTATGGTGGAGAAAATAATTTTTTAGAGCATCCCACCATTAAAATGTCTAGAAAACAGTTCCCCAAATGGAGCTATGATTTTGATATGAAATTATACTAAACATATCCTTGTAGATGAAAATGTGTTTCTCACTTTTAAAAAGTTAGTAATAATGATATTTTTTAATAAGATGTTAAAGATTCGAGTCATTGGCGTGTAAATATGAAAATGTTGATGTTAAATATGTAAAAATCTAGGAACATTTACATACATACAACTCAATTCTTATATATCTACATATCTAACACCTCAACTTCAATTGTATAAATATGCCATAGCTCTGCATGAAACGGTGTATTCACTTCAAATAGTGATATTTTTGATGTGATATGAAAGATTTATGTGGTATAAATGTAAAAAAGTAAAGTTTAGTTGTCAAATATGTTACTACATAGGAATTTGGTAGTATGTGTGCAAATGCCCCAAAAATATAAGAATTGTGTGGGTATATATGTAAATGCCCCATAGACTGTCATCCTCCAAGTTGGGCCATAATTTAGTTTGGGTAAAGCTTTGACAATATCATTGATTCTTTTGTTGTCTGTGTGAGCAGTTTTATTTTGATTTTTTTTAAAAATAAAAAGAAAAATTTACATATATACTGTTTAATTCCTATGCATTTACATATCTAACATCTAAACTTCAATTTTTTACATGTATGACACCTTAATTATGCATGAAAATATGTATTTCACATTTTATAGTTAAAATAGTGATGTTTTTGGCTGTGATATGAAAGATTTGCTTGGCATAAATGTTAAAAGCAAAATTTATGTGTTAGAAATATACATAAGAATTGTGGGGTATGTATGTAAATGTCCTCAACAAATTGGGGAAATTTACATAAATTCCACATAATTCTTATACATTTACATATATAACATTTAAATTTCAATTTTTGCACATATGACACCTTATTTATGCATGAAAGTATGTATTTCCTTTTTTTAAAGATAAAATTATGATATTTTTTGCTATAAAAAAAGAGAAATTTATGTACATTCAACACAATTTTTATGCATTTACATCTCTAACATGTAAATGTCAATTTTTACATATACGACTTCTTGTCTATGCATGAAAATGTATGGTTTCCTTTTCAAAGATTAAATTAGTGATATTTTGATGTGATATAAAATATTTGATTGGTATACAATAACAACAACAATAACAACAACAACAAAGCCTTAATCCCACTATGTGGGGTCGGCTGCATGAATCCTTTTTCTCCACTGCATCCTATTTAGTGTCATATTTTCATTTAGTTCTAGTAAATTAAGATCATTTTTAATACAATAAGCCCAAGTCTTCCTAGATCTACCTCTGCCTTTCTTAACACAAGTCGAATCTGCCGTTGCAGGTCCCAAGCCCGGATGTGAAAAGTAGAGGGTTGCGTTAGGTAGTCGACAACCAGTGTAAAACTTGTCGAAAAAATCATGACATTAATCCTTTTGATCTTTGCGAAAGACTTGATTGGTAAAATGTAAAAAATAAAATTGAATTGTTAGATATGTACATAAGAATTGGGCAATATGTATGTAAATGTCCCCAAAAAAATTAGAGAAATTTACATACATTCCACACGACTCTTATGCATTTACATATCAAACACTTAAATTTTCATATTTACATCTATAACACTTTAGTAGTATAAATCAATGTAAGAAAGTGTGTATTTCACTTTTCGGGGGCTGATCTTGTGGCTTAGAAAGGATTGGGATGCTTAATAGATAAATTAGAAGTTTGTGATGCGAGATGTGTAAATAGGAATGTTTGATGTGCTATGAATGTAAAAATCCCAAAAGATAATATATTTATGTGTTATGAAAGTTTTGGGTGGCCAAAATATCAAAAAATAAAGTATTAAGTATTCCATATATATGAAAAATATTACAATAGGACTCCGCATGTAGAGTTACGTGCGGAGTCGGATGAAATCGTGTCATATGGATGTGACAATGTGACAAAAAAAAAAAACGGTATGATAACACAGCAGAATATTCTCCCTGTATTCTTCCGTGTTATTTAGGTGTTATTGTGTTCTGGGAATATTTTCGGATGTGACAAAAAAAAACTGTCTGATAACACATAAGAATATTCTCCCTGTGTTCTTCCGTGTTATTCAGGTGTTATTGTGTTCTGAGAATATTCCATAGATAACCCTTCTTAGGAACGCGTTAATACTATCCATTTTCCTCGCCCAGTCCTGCCAGTAGAATAGCAGAAGTGTCGATTTCCGGCCATCCATGGCGGCGTCAAGGGGAATGGGGTCGGCGAACGCGATTAGGGTTTCGGACATAGAGAACATGAGCGTGGATCAGCTAAGAGTCCTAAAGGAGCAGTCTGATCTCGAGGTAAATCTCCTCCAGGACAGCCTTAACAAGATCAGGTCTGCTGCCACCCGTCTCGAGATCGCATCCACCGCTCTCCACGACCTCTCTCTCCGCCCTCAAGGCATTTCTCTATTCTGTATTCCCCATCTCTCTGTATTGTCTCATCATTTTTTGAGATAATTTTTTTTTGTTGCGAAAGGGAAGAAGATGCTCGTACCTCTCACGGCGTCTCTCTACGTCCCGGGAACCCTCGACGATGCTGAGAAGGTTTTAGTTGATGTTGGAACCGGTTATTTCATTGAGGTACTTTTATTTCTTTCCTTATGCTATTTCTCATAGATGTTTGATTTCCCGAATAGTGGTTTGTTGTGTTATTGATTTTTAAAATGACTTTGGATGCCAATTGTGTTAACTACTTTGGGTGGCTGGGTTAGAATTCTTGCAGGGATTTAAGTTGAATTAGCTAACCGGAATTGGCTAATCTATTCATTCAAATAGACCAAATGTACCATTTATAATGAGTCTATCATGTCTTATACTATTTTAGCTTCAATTCAAAATTCCTTATTGTTTACTGGAAGAAAAATTTTATTGTGGCTCCATTCTTTAATTTGCAAATCTATTCGTCTCAGAAAAATAAGTAGAAACAAGTTGAGGCGATGTGTTTCTCTCACCTGAACCTTCACCACTCGAAAGGAGATTTTTTATACGTTTATTTTATTTTTTGGCCTTGTTTATTTGATGATTTATGTTAAACTAGCCAGCTCAGCGTTTCATGCCATGCATTTTCTGGCTTTGCATATGAAAATTTCTTCATCCTAGCCCTTCAAAATGTCTTCTCTTTGATTTTAAGCTTAATTTTAATTTGCAACACTTTAGTGCCCCAATATCATACTTTGACTTATCGGTGCAGTTTATCCATTTGTAATTTGCAGAGGTTGGAAAGATGCAAATAAGAGAAGTAGCAACCACAAACTATTGTTACTATTAGTTAGTAAATGCTGAGTTAAAATTGCGTCATTTCTTATCTCAATTACTGTTCATTTTGGGACGGGCAAACACGCGCGCGCGCGCACACACACACAAACACATAGCCACAGCTGGAAAGGGGAAGGTTGGAGAAGCAGGTGAAATGGAGGCAGCTGGAAGGAGGTTTGCTACAGCAGGGGCACAGCAGGAGAGGCTGGTCTTGGGAGCAGGTGAAAGGGAGGCAGCTGGAAGGAGGTTTGCTATAGCAGGGGCACATCGGGAGAGGCTGTTCTTGTGCGGCTGCAATAGGGAAGGAGCTGTGGCAGAGAAGGATGGATGTGGGGGCATGGAGAGTTTGAGAATCACCGCCTCAGAGCGAGATACATTTGGAGTACTACTCGTCCTCGGATGCAAACCCTAGAGGGGAAAACTGGGGATTGCAACGGATGGCCATCCTGACAAAAATACAATAAAAAAAATGCCCTAACACATGAAATAGTATATTTATACACCTATGGTTAAAAAGAGTAGACCCTGCTTGGAAGGACCGGCCAGCCCCTCCTTTGCATGGACCGAACTTGTCTGGGGCAAAGATCGTGGCATTTGCTAAGTCTGGGCATGGACGGCCTGCGTCATGAAGTTGTGAAGATCTTTGTCTAGCTTTTGATATTTTTATTAGGGGACTTGATAGTATTGGATTTTAAATCAGATTATAGGAAAATCTATGATCAAGAAAGTTAAAAGAGAGGCTGACTCAAATGATGACTCAATGTGGCTGAGTGAATTTTTGGTGCATGATACTTGATTATGTTAAAAGCTATTTTTAAAACTGAGTGATGGTTGATATGAAGAGCTCACATATGAGGAGGAGATTATTAATGAATGTGTGGGGATTGGTTTTAGTCTGCATTGGTTATTTAAAAGCTATGTTGATGTAAAATTACCTAGTTTTTGCCCTCTATTGTAGGCATAAGCTTTTGAGTTAAAGTCATTTAAACGATTGGTGTGTCTTAGTAGTAAAGATAATAGAGATATATGGGAACATGATATGAACTAATTAATTTATCAGTAAGTGGACCCAAAAACTAGGCACGAAGATACTTTTCAACCATCCAACCTGAAATTTTTTTAAATTTGGAACTGTTTTCTGATGATATGTTTGCGTTGATGTGTCTTGGTTTTGTCCGGCTTTAATTTTGGAGGAAAACACATTATACATAATTTGAACATTTCGGTGTTGGAAGTGTCATGTTCGACATTGGCAAAAAATGGTTTTTTTGAAGTTTCCAATTTTCATAATAGCTGACAGAGATTCTTCTCAGTCTTTTTTTTATAAAATTGCTTCCAATGCCAAGCCCAAGTGCTATTTAATCTCAACACTAAATCACCTAATTGGCTCTCATTCATTCTAAAATCTATTTCCAAGTTTATATGACCAGCAGAATTATTTAAGATGGTAGATAAACTACCTAATATACTGATTTCTTATTTCCATTGACCATGTTCAGTAGAAGTTGATTACAACACCCTGACATTTTTGATGTTCGTGAACCTAGCTCCTAAAGCTGGGCTCAAAATTCTTAATTTTTTTATGAAGTGCTTCCTGCTAAGTCAGCTGGAGTTAGGCTATTCTCTTGTTTATGAATTGGATTGAAGGTTGGCATGCTGTACACTTGACTTCTCCCTAATCTAATTTAATTTTTAAAGTTCTTGGACCTAGACCCCAAAGCTGTGCTTGAAGTACTTTGTTTTTTTTTTTTTTAAATGAAGGGCTTCCTGCTAAGTCAACTTGTGTCAATCTATTCCTAGCTCTTAAATTAGATTGAAGGTTGGCATGTTTTACTCTTGCCTTCACCCTAAGTTAGTTTGAGGGCAGATTATATTTCCATTATTAGCTTACAATAGCTGTAGTGATGATTTGGAGCTGTCATAAGTTGACCGCTTTTATGGCAAAACTAACAATATTCTTCTTTGCAGACTCCATGGGGTCGTTTGGGATCATTTTTGTTTTTTGTCTTTTATTATTATTTTTTTTTGCTTTGTTTAAGTTTTGGTTTGAAACAAAACAAATTTGGGTATTTGATTAAAGTATGTTTGTTTTTAAAAACAATCAGAACACCTTAAAGTTGTTTGAGTGTTTTTTTTTTTGAAAACAAAAAATAAAAATATGTAAAAAACCAGACTAAACAAACATTTTTCTAAAGCCAAAAAAAAAAAAAAAGATCCCAAACTACTCGTAAGAGAGAGAAAAAGAAGAAGCGCACTTCTTGTCTTTTCTCACCTCTTGTTTTCCTTTTAAAAGAAAAATTGCCGTATTGCTACCCTAGTAACTCACATTGTGATTTTCTTGAAATTTATAACACAAGCCTCCACTGAAGCGCTAATGAAATTATGTCAAAATCTCCATCTCAAAATTATTTTTCTTAGGAAAACTTTCTCTAACAAAGATAACGTTACATAACTTTGCAATATTGTTTGAAGTTGGTTGTCTTGGATATGAGATTTTGTAATGTGGTGGGGAAATAAGGTTGGCAAAAATGTACGGAAGGTAGTGTTAAAAATAAATGACATAAGCATTTATTGATTGACTTAATAGGAGTGAAATGTAATTGTTAGAATAGAACCAGCTTGAATTTTATTGATGTAAAGAGGGGTATAAATACTCTTTATAAGATCTACTAATAAGGAAAAAAATAAAAACAGAATAAAGGGAAAAAAGGAAAGTAAATAAAAGCAAATCAAAGCACTTAATACAGAATTCTACATATTAATATTTTAATATTCTAATAATCCCCCTCATCAAAGCACTTAATACAGAATTCTACATATTAATATTTTAATATTCTAATAATCCCCCTCATCAAAGCACTTAATACAGAATTCTACATATTAATATTTTAATATTCTAATAATCCCCCTCATCAAAGCACTTAATACAGAATTCTACATATTAATATTTTAATATTCTAATAATCCCCCTCATCAAAGCACTTAATACAGAATTCTACATATTAATATTTTAATATTCTAATAATCCCCCTCATCAAAGCACTTAATACAGAATTCTACATATTAATATTTTAATATTCTAAGACTGTCATATGTAGTTTGTGGAGCATGATGCGTAACCAAAGAGCTTCACAGATCCTTAAGAAAATGGATCGGAATTCAGCTTCTACATTGTTTCAGACAACCACAAACTATTTTTTTACTGTCACGTGGCAAGGTTTCGTAAACAAATGAGCATTACTCTGAGATGGAACGTCAATCAAACAAACTTGAGCCAAATGTATCTTTTAAATAGTGGAGAATCTGGTGGACAGCTTAGAGATGGTGCTCATAAGGGTCAGACATGAATTGACTATCCCAACTGCCTGACATATGTCAGGGTGTATATGGGCAATATAGATTAATTTCCTCTAAGACGTTGGTAATGAATCTTGTTTACGAGAACTGCATTGGAAACATCAAGAAGTTTTTCATTAGAATTCATCGATACAACCACTGGTTTACACAGGAGAAGATTGTTCTTTGTCAAAAGTTCAATAACATATTTTCACTGATACAGGCAAATACCCTGAGATGATTGAACAACTTCCATGTCTAAGACGTACCAAAGAGATCCTGAGTCCTTCATTTCAAAGGAAGCAACAAGAATGTTTTTCAGAGACTCCAATATTGGTAGATCATTACCTTTGAGAACAATATCATCAAGATAAACAATAAGAATAGCTACCTGACTGATGGAGGAATGTCGGAAGAAATGAGTGGTCCGATTGAGCCTGAGTGAATTCATGACCTACCACCATTTTGTGAATTTCCCAAACCATGCCCATGATGATTGCTTCAATATATGGAGAAATTTTCACAGTCTACATATTTGCCCCTGAGAGGTAATGGAGTCAAAGCTTGGAGGAAGGGTCATGTATATCTCCTCATTAGGAACACATTCTTGTCATCACGCTGTAATAAGGGCCAATCCAGATTCACTACAAGGGATAAGAGGACTAAAATGGTGTTTAATTTAATAACTAAAACAAATGTCTCCTTGTAGTCAACTTCGTAGATCTGTGAGTACCCTTTGACGACCAATTGTGTTTTTTCGCGTTTAAACTATCCATCAAATTTAAAAGATGTTAAAAATTAATCGGCATCCCACAACTTTCTTACCCTGAGGAAGATCAACAATGTCCCAAGTATGGTTCCACTGAAGGGCATTAATCTCTTCCATGGCGGGTCTACTAACACAACATCAATAATAGATGAAAGCTGATGTTTGGTCAAGGCCATATCAAATGATCTGTAGGTTGGTGATAATCTGGGAAGAAAGGCAT